TGACACCAGATATAAGTGGTGGCACTGGTCACCGTATCCACTGTTAGCGTAACACACCGGCTTTAAGGACACTGACTGCTATTCAATCTATAACAGTGAAAAAAATTTTTTCTTTTTTAAATCCAAGCTATTATGACACCAGTTAGTGGTGGCACTTGTCACCGTATCCACTGTTAGCGTAACACACCCGCTTTAAGGACACTGACTGCTATTCAATCTATAACAGTGAAAAAAGTTTTTTGTTTTTAAATCCAAGCTATTGAGACACCAGATATAAGTGGTGGCACTGGTCACCGTATCCACTGTTAGCGTAACACACCCGCTTTAAGGACACTGACTGATATTCAATCTATAACAGTAAAAAAAGTTTTTTGTTTTTAAATCCAAGCTATTGTGACACCAGATGTAATTGGTGGCACTGACTGGGGAAATGGGCACAGTATGCACTGTGAGCCTGACACAGAAGCTGGCAACAGTGGCAGACAACTGACTGCTATTCAATCTATAACAGTGAAAAAAGTTTTTTGTTTTTAAATCCAAGCTATTGTGACACCAGATGTATTTGGTGGCACTGACTGGTGAAATGGGCACAGTATGCACTGTGAGCCTGACACAGAAGCTGGCAGCAGTGGCAGACAACTGACTGCTATTCAATCTATAACAGTGAAAAAAGTTTTTTGTTTTTAAATCCAAGCTATTGTGACACCAGATGTAATTGGTGGCACTGACTGGGGAAATGGGCACTGTGAGCCTGACGCAGAAGCTGGCAGCAGTGGCAGACAACTAAGTGCATTTACATTAGATAGAAAAAAAAAATCCAAAAAAAGCATACCCTTATCCCTAACCTAGCTATGCTTTTCCCTATCTTATGAACAGCAGCTACTCTTTCCCTCCTCTTACTAAGCATGCAGCTTGAGAATGAATCTAAAATGGATGCCTTCCAGGAGGTGGGAGGGTCTGCTAGGGAGGGTGTGCTGCTAATTGGCTGGAATGTGTCTGCTGACTGTGAGGTACAGGGTCAAAGTTTACTCAATGATGACGAATAGGGGACGGGTCGAACCGCGCATATGTTCGCCCGCCGTGGCGAACGCGAACATGCTATGTTCGCCAGGAACCGTTCGCCGGCGAACCGTTCGGTACATCACTAGTCTACGGATTAAATAATGTAGTTTAACACATATAACAGGCTACATTAAAAAACAAATTATATTAAAATGCTGTTCATTATGTTTCATGTTTATTATAATTTTTAAATGATGGTATCAGAGCTGTTATCAAAAATATACCACTCCCTCCTGATATTTAGCAGAAATTTAACAGAATGTACATGTACTAATGTAATTAAACAAGATAATATGATTTTTAAAACCAATATGTGACTATGACAAAAAACACTAATTTTTATCTAAATAATATGTATCTATCTATCGAAGTAAAACATGGGCTTACTTGGGCAGGTTTCCACATCAACTTGGTTAAAATCTCTTCCAATTTCAACTGCAATATTATTTCTAAGAACAAAAAAAAGTGTTAATTGGTTACTCAGACATCTTAAAGTAGGTAAAAGAACATAGTTACAATAGTGTAGTCTTCAAACAAATATTGTTTTTTAAAAAGGCAAAAAAAAAACATATTGAAGTGATTACCAATTATACCACAAAAAGGAAAATCATTTTTTTTCTTGACTCCACAATAGCAGTCGTCTTTTTTTTCCTTGGATCCGCAAACTGTTCACATGCATATTAATTATTTCCTTGAATATTGTGATCTACTAAAAAAAAAAAATCTACACAATCAGATAAGATGACCTTTTAATCAGAGAATTCCATGTTCTTCTATAGTCAATCTTTTCCTCTGCTATAAGCAGTCTCATTGGATAAACTTGTGTCGGCTGGATATTTCTGCAAATAGACAGATTACCAGAGAGCGATTTAAACGGATCCTCTACATACTTGTATAGACCTATCATATCTCCACTGAGGCACTTTTTATATAGTGAAAGAAAGGCAAATGCAAATTTCCTACCCTTTTTTTCAGTACTAATGTTTTCCATCACCTTTATTAATTTTGTAGCTTACCTCTGAGGTTTTTGAAGGTCTGCAACATTCTTCAAACTGGTGCCCAAAATAGAACCTCATATTTGATCAACTGAAATAATACCCATTTTTTTGCTTCTCCTTATTTACTTTTCAATGGAAGATTGTCATTGCATATAGAGTTGAGCGGACACCTGGATGTTCGGGTCCGGCGGGTCCGGCCGAACTTCGGAAAAAAGTCCAGGTCCGGGCTCGAACTTGACCCCGAGCCTGAACCCCATTGAAGTCAATGGGGACCTGAACTTTTGGGCACAAAAATGCCTCTAAAAAAGTCCTGGAAAGGACTTGAAGGCTTCAATAGGAAGTAAGTTGGGGGTAAGAGTAGGAAAAGTGAACTGCAAACAAATGTGGATAGGGAAATCACTTAAAATAACATAAAATACATAAAAATTATAAATACAGCTGAACCATAAAATAGCACTAGATGGAATCTTTGATTTTAGCTTTGGAAGAACATAAATCAAATTCTAAAGCATGGCTGTCAGGAGGATCACCAATTATCCATTTGAGAGAGAGTTGGAGTGCAGGGTATTCTCTTTCATTGTTTAAACTGAGCTCAACTCCAGATGCATGGAGAAAAGGCCTTCACAAGCCTCTGCTATTGTGTACATAGTTTATACTAAGTGACCCATAGGTTGAGAAGGCGGTGACCGTAGCAGTGTAATTGGAAGTTGCGGTGGAGGAGGAGATAGCCAACACTGTTTTTTATTTATTTATTTTAAAATTGGGGTAGCCCCCAAAATATTGGGACATATAAAAAAAAGAAACATTTGCGGCCTGCAGTGCATTTCTTGCAGTCCAATAACGCCATCAGGTTTTTAAAATTGTCCATCTCCACCAGACGAAATGACAGCGTTTCAAAGGCCAGGCATTTTGAAATGCTGGCATTCAGGGCCATGGATGGGTGGGTGGGTAGGGGAGTATTTCCTCTTTCTCTCCAGTGTTTGGGAGATGGACAGCTGAACGCTTCCATGGGACAGTGTGGAGATGCTGGACAATTGTGTACCTGGCCTATGCTGGTGCAGGAACCCACCCTCCGAGAAACTTGTGAATGACTGGCCTGATAACCATGGAAATGACCCCTCTTCCTCCTCCTCCTGTGCCACATCCTCTTCCATCATCTCCTAAAGCGTTTTTTCAAGGAGACATACAGGGAGTGCAGAATTATTAGGCAAATGAGTATTTTGACCACATCATCCTCTTTATGCATGTTGTCTTACTCCAAGCTGTATAGGCTCGAAAGTCTACTACCAATTAAGCATATTAGGTGATGTGCATCTCTGTAATGAGAAGGGGTGTGGTCTAATGACATCAACACCCTATATCAGGTGTGCATAATTATTAGGCAACTTCCTTTCCTTTGGCAAAATGGGTCAAAAGAAGGACTTGACAGGCTCAGAAAAGTCAAAAATAGTGAGATATCTTGCAGAGGGATGCAGCACTCTTAAAATTGCAAAGCTTCTGAAGCGTGATCATCGAACAATCAAGCGTTTCATTCAAAATAGTCAACAGGGTCGCAAGAAGCGTGTGGAAAAACCAAGGCGCAAAATAACTGCCCATGAACTGAGAAAAGTCAAGCGTGCAGCTGCCACGATGCCACTTGCCACCAGTTTGGCCATATTTCAGAGCTGCAACATCACTGGAGTGCCCAAAAGCACAAGGTGTGCAATACTCAGAGACATGGCCAAGGTAAGAAAGGCTGAAAGACGACCACCACTGAACAAGACACACAAGCTGAAACATCAAGACTGGGCCAAGAAATATCTCAAGACTGATTTTTCTAAGGTTTTATGGACTGATGAAATGAGAGTGAGTCTTGATGGGCCAGATGGATGGGCCCGTGGCTGGATTGGTAAAGGGCAGAGAGCTCCAGTCCGACTCAGACGCCAGCAAGGTGGAGGTGGAGTACTGGTTTGGGCTGGTATCATCAAAGATGAGCTTGTGGGGCCTTTTCGGGTTGAGGATGGAGTCAAGCTCAACTCCCAGTCCTACTGCCAGTTCCTGGAAGACACCTTCTTCAAGCAGTGGTACAGGAAGAAGTCTGCATCCTTCAAGAAAAACATGATTTTCATGCAGGACAATGCTCCATCACACGCGTCCAAGTACTCCACAGCGTGGCTGGCAAGAAAGGGTATAAAAGAAGAAAATCTAATGACATGGCCTCCTTGTTCACCTGATCTGAACCCCATTGAGAACCTGTGGTCCATCATCAAATGTGAGATTTACAAGGAGGGAAAACAGTACACCTCTCTGAACAGTGTCTGGGAGGCTGTGGTTGCTGCTGCACGCAATGTTGATGGTGAACAGATCAAAACACTGACAGAATCCATGGATGGCAGGCTTTTGAGTGTCCTTGCAAAGAAAGGTGGCTATATTGGTCACTGATTTGTTTTTGTTTTGTTTTTGAATGTCAGAAATGTATATTTGTGAATGTTGAGATGTTATATTGGTTTCACTGGTAATAATAAATAATTGAAATGGGTATATATTTGTTTTTTGTTAAGTTGCCTAATAATTATGCACAGTAATAGTCACCTGCACACACAGATATCCCCCTAACATAGCTAAAACTAAAACAAACTAAAAACTACTTCCAAAAATATTCAGCTTTGATATTAATGAGTTTTTTGGGTTCATTGAGAACATGGTTGTTGTTCAATAATAAAATTAATCCTCAAAAATACAACTTGCCTAATAATTCTGCACTCCCTGTAGAAGCGGGATAGTAAGGCTGAGAAAAGCGTCATCGGCACTGGCCATGTTGGTGGAGTACTCAAAACAGCGCAACATGTCACACAGGTCTCGCATGGAGGCCCACTCATTGGTGGTGAAGTGGTGATGTTCTGCAGAGTGACTGACCCGTGCGTGCTGCAGCTGAAACTCCACTATCGCCTGCTGCTGCTCGCACAGTCTCTTCAGCATGTGCAAGGTGGAGTTCCACCTTGTGGGCACTTCGCATATGAGGCGGTGAGCGGGAAGGCCGAAGTTATGCTGCAGTTCAGACAGGCAAGCAGCAGCAGAGTGAGAACGCTGAAAGCGCGCACAGATGGCCCGTTCTTTCTGCAGCAGTTCTGGGTAGTTTTTCAGGAATTTCTGCATCACCAAATTAAGCACATACGCCAGGCAAGGGATGTGCGTCAAACCGGCTAAGCCCAGAGCTGCTACGAGATTTCACCCATTATCGCACACCACCAGGCCGGGCTTGAGGCTCAGGGGAAACAACCACTCATCGGTCTGTTGTTCCATGCCTGTCCACAGCTCCTGCGCGGTGTGGGGTTTTCCCCCCAAACATATGAGTTTTAAAACAGCCTGCTGTCATTTCCCCTTGCTGAAGCTGGTGGTGAAGGTGTTACGCTGACCGGATGAGGAGGTGGTAGAGGAGGAGGAAGCGGAGTAGGAGGAGTAGGCAACAGGAGGCAAAGCTGTGTACCCAAATAAAGATGGTCAAAAGTTGCATCCTGGAACTGTGTCCCATCCGGTTACTGGGGAAATGGGTCTGACCTATTCTAATCAAAGGGGATAACCATCGGTTACCCAGGTCCCGCTTTAATTAGTGGCAAGCGGCGGGATCCCATGTCCCTCTAAAGCTCTAAAGCGACCTGCACTGTAGGACTTGTGTGGAGCCAGAGGAATAACGCCTGGTGGGCGTAACAAGGCCGAATTGACTGCTGCGCTCATGGAGGACGACCAGGCACGCAGTGAGGCAACGAACCCCAGCCAGGGGCCGGAGATGAGGAGCAAGTGCGCAAGGAGGTGAAACGGCGCCTGGCATATTACCGAGAGCCACCCTCAGAGGAGATCATCAGCAGGACCTTTTTGGAGGTGCAAGCCTATGTTCTTGCCAGTAGACAGAGGGCGACCTCCATGAACCCAGATGAAGGAAGAAGAGAGCAGAGGGCACCGGGAAGCACAACCACCCTGGCCCACAAGCTACCATACAATGTCTTCAAAGAGTTCAAGGAAGCAGAAGAAGGCATCGATGACTTTTTACAAGACTTTGAGCACCAGTGCCTACTCCAAGACGTGGACCCCAGCGACTGGTTCACCATCCTGGCCAGAAAACTAGTGGGAAAGGCAGCGGATATTTACCGGGCTGTACCAGAAGACCAGATCAGAGACTATCTGAAATGGAAAAATCAATTAAAGTATTGATTATTTCTTTGTGTATCTGCCCCTGGCCAAATCAATGAAACAATGCGTGCACGCTCCCTGAAGTAATTCACACCAGACACAGGTTCCAGGTTGTTGAATAACTTGAGGAATGTTTTTTCAGAGGGGACGGCAGGTCCCTTTTAAAGCAAAATTACATCATAAGCATTGTCAGAGATAACATGGAATAATACATCAATAATTGGTTAGGTGTTAAGTGGTCGCTTCAATGCTCTGCCTACTGTAGGTGATGTCACCGGGGCCATGAGGGTCTCCCACGGTTTCCCGGCGCCATCTTGGTGCATGAGGTAGTTAGTCAATGTTAGGAAGAAGAAAGGGAGGGGAGGGGGAAGGAGCTAGAAGCTTCTAGCAGCCATCTTGATTATAACATGTGTGCTTAGCTACATATATATATATCGTGAAATGAGTAAATAGACATTTTTCACTAACTAGGAAATATGTGTAGACCTTATTTCCACAACAGTCCCCCCTAAAATGGCTATTTACCATAACAACTGCTACTGTCCCTAATATGTCCCTAGTTGCCTGCAACCTATCTGCCTTAACCAGCATCGAACACTTCACTCCGCGGGTAACCCGCAGTGGCTAGTCCACTACATCTCCACACGTGAGACTCGCCAGTTAAGACAGACGCTTTCCCTATACTGTCCCTACAGGAAAGCAGTTGTTTGTTTGAACTGATGTGATTGAAGGGGTGTATGTGGAGTATCATCTTCGAGGTCTGTGATGTCTTGGTGTATGAAAGTAGGGGTCACGTCATCTATAGTCTTGTCTACCGCTTTCTGTAGATACTTCTGTATGCAGGGGAATATGCAACAGGTCAGAAACAAGAAAATGACGATCATTATAAGAACAGCTGTCCCCACCTGGAAGAGGGTCCTTTGCCAACCATTCATCCATCCAAACCATCTGTCCCAAGTGTCGATGACTCCTGAATTTTTCTTTAGCTCATCTGCAAGACTATCTAGCTTCTCTATGGCCATAGTCACCTTACCATTGGGCCCAGTGTTGTCTGGAATGTATGTACAGCATGTCATGGTCTCAGGGAGGATTTTACATACACCCCCCTTCTCAGCTAAAATCATATCTAGGGCCATTCTGTTCTGAAATGTCATTTGGGTGGTGGCTTGTAATTGTTCTGCCAGGCCCTGTAGGGCATCCCTAGTGTAGTTGACGAAACGCTGTTGATTATAGTAAATGTAGTTAATCCAATTGACATTTTTGTTAGCAGTTATCATTGGGATTAGGGACTCAAATCCTGCAGCCACTTCATCTCTCGCTTTGAATTCGTTAGGCACCCCCCTTGGCACACCTATGGCATCAATATACACATGGGGGTCGAAGCTCCCTCGAATAGGAGTCTCTCGTTTAGTTCTAGAGTGTACATGTGTGAGATTTAATGTGTTATGGTCACCATCTGGAATGATATGGATAGGCATTATGACTTTAGTTAGGGCACACTCCCCCCACCATTGCCCAATTAATTGGGACCTCAATTGTTTATCCCCACATAACCAATAGATATCACCGATTGTCTTTGTGTGGTTCATTAGCAGTGATACGGGTGGATTATGGTAAGTTGAGCAATATCCTGATGGGAATTTGCCCAGATACAAACCGGTGTTTTTAGATATTGTATAACATGTGTAATTACCTGGGTAGATGGTGACTCCATCAGGTGGTTTTACATGTCCGTGAGTGATCGGGTAAATTCTCTTCCATGATTCACATGTCGAGGAATTGGTGACAGACTGTGTGTAAAGGCTCAGAACACATGACTCTACTTCAGGAGGCAAATTCAGAGGAACTGTGCCCAGATGGGGTCTGGCTCCTCCACACACATAACAATTGGTCTTATTGTGTGAGTTGGCATTATACCTCATCCATTCCAGCCATAAATTAGTATCTGAGAAACCAGTTTCCACTGCCATAGTGTCTTCAAAGGTGGGGTTGGCTATAGCTACCATGTCATGTAGGGTCTTAATATGTGGTTTTAATGGGTTAACGATCATGTGAGTGGTCCCTACCCAGTCTGGGGAGGTGAGCATGTCTTGTAGGTAGAATGTCCCCAGTGCATTGTGTGAGCCACCTCCCTTCCAGTACATCCCCATCACATATTCCCCTGCGTCCCTTGGACTAGGGTGTTCTATATTCAAGGTAAGTTTGATGGGAGTTGACCCTGTGGGTTTACTAAGAGTCATTCTAGAGAGTAGGGGCTTCCCGTCTTTGTCAAGTCTGTCCAGTGCAACCTGAGGTCTGTAGCCCCATGGTCTACCTGTATTCCACCCGGCAGCTTTCCATGAACTACAGTGGTGTCCCCAAGCTCCTCCAGTCACACAAATGTATGGGTCCTTTTTGTTAGGTATGTCCTTGTATATGGCTGCATGTTGTGTCTGTGGGAATGTACAGGTAACTATGTCACAATAATCAAAGGTGTATGTAGCTACATCTGTATCAGAAGAATTGTACCAGAAAGTGTAAACATGATTATCTTTGGTTATGGCCACTTGTTGGGCCCAAGCAGAATGCAACAGTATAAGAAAACACGAGACACATAATAAATTCATGTTTCAACAAGATCAGTTTCTTCTGGAGCAGGCACTTTTTTGCAATGTGAAGCGTGTATCCAGGAACTTTTCCCAGCTAGTTTAACTGACGTTGCTGTGATCAGGAGCACTTGATAAGGACCATCAAATCTCGGTTCTAGGGTGTGTTTCCTGAGGAACTTCTTAACCATAACCCAGTCACCAGGGAGCAGCTTGTGTGTACCTGTATTCGACTCAGGATCTGAAATAGAAGAAAACACTTGGGCATGTATCTTGGTCAGGGCATGAGAGAGAGCGGTCACATAGTCTACCATAGCATCTGACTGAATCTGAAGCTGCTGGGGAAAGTAACAACCCAACCTAGGTGCTGTACCAAACAAAATCTCATAGGGTGATAGGCTGTATTTTCCCCTAGGTGTGTACCTTACACTAAACAATGCCAGTGGGAGACTCTCGGGCCAGGGCATGTTAGTTTCTTGTGACATCTTGAGCATTCTGGCTTTCAAAGTGCCATTCATGCGTTCTACCTTACCACTACTCTGTGGGTGATATGGTGTGTGAAATGCAAGGGTCACCCCCAGTGCTGACCAGACTTCCCGTGTTAGCGAGGCAGTGAAGGAGGTCCCCTGGTCACTTTCAATCACTTCTGGGACCCCATAGCGGCAAACAATTTCTGTCAGAAGATACTTGGCTGTAGTCCTCGCGGTGAGGTTAGTCACTGGGAAGGCCTCTGGCCATCCTGAAAACATGTCCACCATGACCAATGCATATTCATAACGTCCACTTTTTGGCATCTGAATGTGATCAATCTGAATCCTCTGGAAGGGATATTGTGGCTTGGCTAGGTGATTAGGTGCAGTCTTTATAATCTTTCCAGGATTGCATTTAGCACATATAGTACAAGACTTACAGTAATTCTGTGTTAAGGTGGTGATGCCTGGTGCTTCAAAATATTTGTCAATCAATGAGTTCATCAGATGTTTTGACAGGTGGGCTGGCCCATGAGCCCATTGGACCACCGCTGGATACATATTTCTGGGTAGGCAAAACTTGAGATTGATAGTGTAAACATCATCACGGAGTATAGCTCCTTTGCTCTTTCAACTTTGTTTCTCCTGTGGAGTAGCAGCAGCTTGTTGTTCCTTCAGGAGTCTAAGATCTGTAGGTAATGTTTGCATAGTGTAGATAGGTAATGTATCTGCGGCCACTCTTCTGTCCACTTCCCATCTTTGCCGTGCCGCTTCCTTAGCTGCTTGATCGGCTAGGTGATTACCACGTGCTTCTTCTGTGTCTAGTCTTCCATGGGCTTTTACTTTCAATACTGCCACTTCTGCTGGAAGCTCCAATGCATCCATCAGCTCTGCAATGGCTGCCCCATGCTTTACTGGGGTGCCAGTGGCCGTTAGAAATCCTCTGGTCTTCCAAATTAGGCCAAAGTCATGTGCTACTCCCAGGGCATATCTTGAATCCGTATAAATGTTGACACGTAACCCTTTAGACAATTTGCAGGCCGCAGTTAGGGCTGTCAATTCAGCTTCTTGAGCGGACTTAGTTGGTTGTAGGGCAGCTGCTTGCAATACTTGGCATTCTGTGGTGACTGCATACCCAGTGTGATATTGTCCCTGTTCATCAGCAAATCTTGACCCATCCACAAATAGTGTTTGGTCCGGGTTGAGTAATGCAGCTTCGTAGACCGTTGGTAGGTGTGTAGTTTCCATTTTCATTTGTTCAAAACAATCATGAGGGATATCGAGGTCACAGTCTGTGGTGAGTGGATCCTCATAGACTTCTGTGTGGTACCTGGGGTACCCAGCTGTACAGTAATTAATAGTCTTTTTATTGACCCCCGTAGCAGTCAGTTGTTCTGGGGTCATTTGACTCCAGGTTTTGGCCATCGGGCCTAGATCTTTCCACGAGATGTCGGGGGGTCTGGTGACGGATATGTGTGGGATCGATGTTCCCCAATGGTGATAGAGATGTGTCACACTCTCTGGGAGGTGGACCAAGATGAGCATGGTACCTGTGAGGTCCCAAAACAAGTAAGTCAGGGTAATTTGGATTTCTTTGAGTTGGAATACTTCTTTCTCATAGTTCATATCAGGGCCTGGTTCATCCCTAACCCACAAGGTACAGTGAGGTAGGGTCACTGATTGTTCATCATGTGGAGGTGCAAGTGTAGGTAGTTGCAGATCTGTTAGAACTTCCGGGTTGATATCCAGGCTATACCAGTGGTATACAATTCCCCCCTTGGGAAGTGGCAGAAGAGTGGCTGGATTCAGGGTAAGGCATCTCTGGAGTTTCACATTGTCAGGTAAAAGCAATGAGGTTTGCAGGCGGAGGTGGCGTTGGGAGGAAAGGTGCTTAGGTTGGACTTGTTGCAGGATAGCAGTAATGTCATGGGGGGCCAACACTGTGAGGTGATGGCCTAGAACAAAGTCATTAGTCTTATCCAGGAGGGCACTGGCGGCAAACACAGCACGGAGGCAAGAGGGGCTGCCCCTTGCAACAGGGTCAAGCATGCAGGAAAAGTAGCCAATAGGCCGTTGTCTGGACCCATGTTTCTGAGTAAGGACTCCAGAAGCATGTCCTGATCTCTCAGAGACAAACAAATTGAAAGAGAGTTGGTAGTTGGGTAGGCCCAAAGCAGGTGCAGAAGCAATAGCTCGTTTCAGAGTATGGAAACAGTTAATAGTGTCTTCAGTGAGGTGAAAAGGCTCACTCCGGAGTGCATCATAGAGAGGCTGCATGAGTTTGGATGCTTCAGGTATCCAGGACCTGCAGTATGTGATGAGACCCAAAAAAGCATGAAGAGAGTGGTGGGTTGCAGGTAATGGGAGTTGAAGGATAGCTTGCACCCGTTGAGAGGTTAGGTGTTTGGTGCCATGGGAAATGCAATGTCCCAAGAAGACCACAGAGGGCCGGCACCATTGCAGCTTTGATTTTGAGGCCTTGCACCCTGCAGTAGCGAGGAAACATAGGAGATCTTCTGAGTCACGTTCTGCAATAAGCAAATTAGGAGCACAGAGAAGGAGGTCATCAACATATTGAAGTAGAACAACATCCAGATGAGATTTCTGCCAGGGATCCAAAACCAGAGACATGGCATGAGCAAACTGTGTGGGAGAATTCTGAGCTCCCTGAGGCATGACAGTCCAGGTATATTGTTGTCCTTCATGTGTGAATGCGAAGAGAAAACGGCAGGAAGGGTCAAGGGGAACACTGAAAAAGGCATTAGCTAGATCCACAACAGTAAAAACAGTTGAATTTGGTGGCACTTGGGACAAAAGGGTGTGGGGGTTTGGAACAATAGCAGTGTCTTTAATGGTTACTTCATTAACAGCACGGAGGTCCTGTACCATGCGGTACTGGTCGGGTTGGCCCTTAATAGTTCGTTTTTTAACAGGGAAGAGTGGGGTGTTGCATGGAGACGTACACTTGGTGAGGGCACCTTTGGCAAGCAGAGACTCAACTTGTTTGGTGATGGCATCAGCTTGTGCTGGCTTCAGAGGATACTGAGGTCGACGAGGAGGAAGTGCTCCAGGCAGGAGCTGGACTAGGACGGGGGGTACATGTAAGCGTCCAATATCATCCGGGCCGGTGGACCAAAGTTCTTGGGGGATACGATCCAGAGCACTGGGGGTGTGTGTGACCCGTGCATTCCCTGTATTGTCTGTTAGGTTCAACAGGAT